ATAAACTGGTGACCCCGCAAGGAACAACGCAAGATGGACAAAAAAACGGAGGAACTACAAATCAGCAGAGTGGGACTGCGAATGCCACCGTTTTGGCCGGAGGAACCAGAATTATGGTTCGCACAGCTAGAGAGCCAATTCATCATAAGCGGAATATCGCAGGACGCAACAAAATACGCACATGCCCTCTCCCAGATCGACGCAAAGTTCGCGAGAGAAATAAAAGATGTCGTGACGGCGCCGCCGGCAGAGGATAAATACGGCTCACTGAAGCGAGCACTGACACAACGCCTGTCAGCTTCGCAGGAGCAACGGACCAGACAGCTGCTCGAGCACGAGGAACTAGGCGATAGGAAACCCTCACAGTTTCTACGGCACCTACAAGGACTGGCAGGCAACACAGTACCGGATAGCCTGCTACGAACACTGTGGCTGGGAAGACTACCAGCACAAATGCAGGTGATCCTCGCGACACGGCAAGGCGATCGGCTGGACGAAGTGGCAGAGCAGGCCGATAGGATATACGAAGTAAACTACCGAGCGGTAGTAGCAGCAGTGAAAACCGTAGAGCCGAACAGCAAATCCCTCGAAGAAAAAGTCGACGAACTGGCCAAACAAGTAGCGGCACTCACCACACAACTGGCAAGAAGCCGGAAACGGGAGAGAGAACACAGCCGCACACGAAGCCGCAGCCACAGCCGAAACAAGGACCGCAACAAGGACCACTGCTACTACCACCAACGGTTCAAAGAAAAGGCGAAGAAATGCGAGCAGCCCTGCTCCTACAAAGCAGTCGCGAAAGCGGAAAACACATAGGGGAGTCGTTAATGGCGGCCAACGACAACCAGCCCCGGCCGTGCCGCCTATTCATACAAGACAAAGACAGCAAGGCGAAATACCTGATAGACACAGGATCCGACGTCAGCGTCTACCCAAGAGGCCAGTGCGGAGGAACGCGGAAGAAGGAACAGTACGAGCTATACGCAGCCAATGGGTCCACCATCGCAACCTATGGAAGCATAAGCCAACAGCCGAATTTCGGGCTTCGAAGGGTGTTCCCCTGGCGATTCATCATCGCAGACGTAACTACGCCCATTATAGGAGCCGACTTCCTCGCGCACTTCCACCTGTTGCCAGACATAAAAAAAGGACGCCTAGTAGACGGACGCACCGGACTCACAACCAAAGGAAGCACGACCGACCGAGGCGAAGGATCGGTGAAAGCCGTAAACGAGGCATCACCGTACCACCAAATAATTAAAGAGTTTCCTGGGGTGACGCAAGGAACCAACGAGCCGCGATGCGCACACAACACCAGGCACTACATCGAAACCACACCCGGCCAACCGGAAGCATGTCGACCACGGAGACTGGCACCGGACAAATTAAAGGCAGCAAAGCTAGAATTCGATCTACTCCGACAGGAAGGAATCATACAGCCATCGCAGAGCCCATGGTCCGCGCCATTACACATGGTGCCCAAGAAGGACAAGCTATGGAGGCCATGCGGAGACTACCGACAACTTAACAGCCGAACAGTACCGGATAGATACCCGATACCACACATCGAGGACTTCGCACAGACACTGCACGGAAAAAAGGTTTTTTCAACGCTGGACCTGATAAAGGCCTACAACCAGATACCGATCAACCCGGCAGACATACCGAAAACGGCCATAACAACCCCGTTTGGTTTGTTTGAATTCCGCTGTATGCCTTTCGGTTTACGAAACGCGGCACAGACATTCCAACGATTCATCAACGAAGTGCTGACAGGCCTAGACTTCTGCTACGCCTACATTGACGACATACTCGTAGCATCTGAAGACGAAGAGCAGCATAAAAAGCACATACGAATACTGTTCGAACGCCTACAACAATACGGAGTAAGGCTCAACCCAGCAAAGTGCATCTTCGGAGCACAAGAGGTCAAATTCCTGGGTTACCTCGTAACACGAGAAGGGACGCAACCACTGCCAGAGAAGGTGTCGGCCATACAAGAATACCCCAGGCCGGAGAACGTCAAACAGTTACGGCAATTCCTGGGTACCATAAATTTCTACCGGCGATTCGTGCCAGGAGCAGCAAAAGAGCAAGCCCTCTTGAGCGACTTGATCGGAGGCCCCAAGAAAAAAGGCAAGGAGGCAATCACGTGGACACCGGAGCGAGAGGCAGCGTTTGAAGCCTGCAAGAAGAGCTTAGCGCAAGCCACACTCCTAGCGCACCCAAGGGCAGAGGCACCACTCGTACTAGTTACGGACGCCTCAGACACAGCCATAGGCGCCGTCCTACAGCAAATGGCAAACAACGAGCCACAACCGCTAGCCTTCTTCAGTAAGAAGCTATCACAGGCTCAAACCAAGTATAGCCCCTACGACAGAGAACTGCTAGGGATATACGCCGCCATACGCCACTTCCGACACATGCTAGAAGGACGAAGCTTCACGGTATACACCGACCATAAACCACTAACATACGCATGGACACAAGATCCATTGAAAAGCTCACCACGACAGGCCAGACACTTGGAGTACATCAGTCAGTTCACCACCGATATCCGACACATCGCAGGAAAGGACAACGTAGTGGCTGATGCACTCTCCAGGATACAAAGCATAGAGGCAACAGTGGACTGTGAACACCTAGCCAAAGCACAGCAAACAGACGAGGAGCTACAAGAAATCCTAAGGGACAACTCCACATCGTTGAAGCTGGTGAAAATCAACATACCAGGAACCACCACGGAGATATACTGCGACAACACTACAGAGCGTTACAGACCATACGTAACCAAGGAATACCGCAGACAAGCTTTCCAGAGCCTACACGGATTGGCTCATCCAGGCATAAAGAACACCATCAAAATGGTCACAGAGCGCTTCGTCTGGCCGAATCTAAAAAAAGATTGCCAGACGTGGGCGAAAGCCTGCATACAATGCCAACGCTCAAAAATAAGCAGGCATAACAAAGCACCAATCGGCACATTCCAGATACCGACGGGCAGGTTCCAGCACGTCCACATCGACATAGTGGGGCCACTGCCAAGCTCGAGAGGATGCCGATACTGCCTCACGATGATAGACCGTTACACGAGATGGCCAGAGGCAATACCAATCACGGACATCACCGCTGAGACAGTCGCGAGGAAGGTCTACACCCAGTGGATGACCCGGTACGGAATTCCAGAAAGGATCACCACAGACCAAGGCCGACAGTTCGAGTCCGAGCTATTCCAGCGACTACTAAAACTCACCGGAACCAAGCACTGGAGAACGACAGCATATCACCCACAGGCAAACGGAATGGTGGAAAGGCTACACCGCCAACTAAAAGCAGCTATAAGATGCCACGAAACGGAAGCATGGTCAGAAGTACTCCCGACGATCCTAATGGGGATCAGGGCAGCATGGAAAGAGGATCTCGCCGCCACACCGGCAGAGATGGTATACGGCGAAAATATCGCACTACCAGGCCCCTTCCTACAGGCCAGCAAGGAGGACGAGAAACCAGCAACCGACTTAGTAGGAGAGCTAAGACAAAGAATGGCACAACTACGCCCGAAGGTAAAACGCCACGGACAACAAGACGTCTTCATATTCAAAGACATGCAGCACGCATCACACGTCTTCATCCGGCGAGATCTACCAACGAGGGCACTACAGCCAAGATACGACGGCCCATACCAAGTCGTACGGAGAGAGGAAAAATTCTTCACAGTAAACATCCACGGAAAGAACACCAACATCTCCATAGACAGGATAAAACCGGCCTACACCACAAACGACACAGAAGAAACGGAGACGACAACAGTCCGACAGGAGCCAAAGGAAGGAGACGACAAAGCCAAGCGGAACAGGAAGCCAGTCGTTCGATTCCAGGCCGGACTTTAAATCAACCAAGGGGGTCCTGTGGCGGCC